TATGCATATAAACACAGATGACTAAATCAGTCCTGGCTACCTAAGAGATCTGTGAACAAAAACTCCCGGGAAATTCAAGCAAACAACAGAGAGCTGTCTGCCTGTAGAGGTACAGGAGATGGCCACTGTGAAAAAGCCTATAACCACTGGCAGTTATGTGTGACCACCACCAACCCTCATGACAAAAGATGGGTAGCGTTTCACATTTCTTTTTTTTCCAGCAAGGATATGTTAAACTGGGATCAGATTAGTAACCACATTTTGGCAAACTTTGTCCTTTCCCTCTGGTCTATTTATTTGTTGTCTTTTCTAAATGTAAACACTCTGGGGTAGGGACTTGACTTATCCCTAGGAAGCACCTAACATGTTTTGGAGTGATCAAACTGATACACAATGAATAATATTTCTAACAAAATCAGAGAGGGAAATTTGCCTAAAGTTATGCACCACTAGCCTGTTCACATGATGGTAAGTTTAAGGTAGCTGGGCTACTTTAATTCAAGCTTTACTTGAACCTTGGATTTTGATAACATTTACAGGAGCAGAGAAGTATTATGTTTCTGGGTTTATTTGTGCCTTAGCAGTGGGCTTGCTGCAGTTTTGGTGCTAAATCTTGAGTAAAGGCCAGCATATAGGGATGCTAAAGGCATGTTTCCATGAGTGCTCACGTGCACTTTGCAGTGCCTCAGAGCAGTTTGGGTTTGATGGCAGCAGCGTGAGCCACCAGAAACCAGAACCTGGTCAGTTGATACCATGCTTGGCTGCCAGCCAGGCTGCCCTGGGAGGCCCCCAGGACCCCAGGTAAGGCTGCGGGGGCCAGCACAGGTGCTGGCCCCAGCCTCCCTTACTCACCCAAGACAATTTGTCCACCCTAACCCCACATGCAGGGTCATGCACAGCAGCAAAAAACAGCGGCAGAAATTTGTGCCACTGCTATTTTTGCTGTAGCAACTGCATACCCCTGCATGTCCAGGGCAGGTATAGTGGGTGACTCAGGCTGTGTCTAACTAATCAGCTCACCATGCCCCCACCCAGTTTGCCCCATAGATGCAGTTACTAGATTCTGGTTTACCAAACAGCCTACCTGGAACATGTTTGTGGACCCTGTTCTGGAACAAGGTGAATGTATTTAGGTAGACGTGGCTTCAGAATCACTGTCCCATCCTGTTCACCTCCTAGCTCTTGGGCATAGTTAATCCAGAGTTTCCTTATATAGAGAGCGGTTAATTTCCAGTCCTCTACAGCCTAAGGGGTAGCTTAGCCCTGGTTTGGATGGAGCTAAATCTCTAGTCCCTACTTTAGCATGGGTATTCCTTGGGTGGTCTAACTCCCATTCACAAGGCATGTCTACACATTAATTAATGTGCGTTTGCTACTGTGCATTAAATTTAGTATATCTGGGCACTTCTGCATGGGATTCGGGGGGGCTGTGCTTTAATTACAGTGGCTCCAAGAGCCGCTCTAATCAAAGCACCACTAAGTCTCCTGTATCAGCGTCCCTGCATAAAAAAATGGCGGTGGCAGCAGTTGAACTAAAGCTTGTTTGATGAGCTTTAGTTCAAGCACCCCCACTGCCATTTTGAAGTGTGGGGTTGCTGATACACGAGACGCAGGAGGCTGCTGGAGCACAGCAATTGCACGGGCACCAGCAGACTCAATTAATTGAATCTACTCTGAAGTGTTAGAATTGCAGTCCTCTAATGTCAGATACTAAATAAATGTGCATTAGGCTGCTCTAATGTGCAACAGCGAACGTGCATGCTTTTTTAGTGACTCTTAATGCTCAGTAGCCTATCTTAACTGTGCATTAGCATATTAGCATGGTTTTTGACATGACGCTAATGCACAGTAAAATAGACTACTGTGCATTAAAGTGCACTTGTAGACGTGCCCAGAGATATGTAATAGCAAGTCACAGTCTGGCACCATCTTGATCACAAAATGTCCATTCAAGCTATGTGGTATTGGAAGAGGGAATTTTTTTTTTCTTCAACAAGTCTAGAACGACTGAGCCAACTTAGACTGAGCTTTAAAAACAGTCTCCTTCAAGGAGAGAGAGAAATGCCAGCCTAAAGAGGAATCTGCTGAAGAAAGTCACAAGCACCTGGACTGAGGCTGGCGGGTGGGGGTTACAGCATGAATTGGAAGTCAGCCTTTACTGCAGCAGGCACCACTCACCATCTGTTTGAACTAAATGGGAAAGTAAAGGCAAGACAGAATGTGCGTCATTTTTTCCCCTGATGGAGAACCCAGAGGCAAGGGGATATAGCTCTTTTATTTTTGCTCGAGAGGGTCCTTAAGAAAAAAATGATAAATACACTTTCCCACACTTGCCGTGACATGCTTCTCCTCATCCTACTCTCTTTTTCCTTGGCAAACAGGGACTCTGATTGGCAAGTGAGACTCTGAACGAAGAGACTCTGTTCCCATGGTTAAAATAATTTGTTTAATAAATATCAGAAGACAAAAGGGAGTAGGAGTTCTTTAGTTCCTCTAGTTCAGGTCCTGCTGGCAAGATGAAGAAACTCAGATCTGTTCATACCCAAGCCAAAACACTGCTGGGATCAGTATCATCCTCCAACACTTGCTCTTGCATATTTTCATAACCTTGCCAAAGAATATAGCAAGGAGATTTTTAACCTACTGTAGGAATAACCAGAAATCATATGATTTATTTCTTTGGGGACTCAGCACCTGATCTCCATAAAAGGGAAACAACCAATGGGAAGGGAAATCTGGCTTCCACGCCCACTGCCCAGCCATCCTGAGAAGAAGTAGGAGTATAGGAATGTGTGTCCCTTTTGCATTGCATGTTGAAAGAAGTGTTTGGCTAGACAATGAGACAACTTTGGCAGGCAATATCTGTGGTACAGTTTCTAATTACAGCTTGTTTAAGAAAACTATAGCACAAACTGTTTTAAATCCCAAATCTGCCATTTACTAATGGGGGTGGGGTGGGGAGGTTGTTAAGAACTATTGTCCATTTCTCTTTACTTGGATAAACAGGAAGATTGCATTTAGCATGGAAAATATGAGTCGGCAGGATGGAGGTGAAAATATGGCAGGTATTTATTGAGTTAATCACAAAGATAGGAAGCTGGCTACAGTGAGGGCAATAAAAGGAGACGCATATCAGGTAGTATTTTTAGGGATATATAGTGGAGTTTTACAACTGGAGGCCCATTACCCTCCTGAACTTTGACTATAAACTGCTGGCCAAAGTCTTGTCCTAAGTGCCATCATCCATGAGGACCAGTCATATGTAGTACCAGGACCTGCTGCAACTGAGAGATGTGCTTCATTTGGAATGAGACAGCGGACAGAAAATGGTGGTGCTGAACATGGACCTGGAAAAAGCCTACGACAGAGTGTCACACTGGTTTCTCTTTGAGACCCTGCAGCAGATGGGCGTCCCTCCGACTTTCACCAGCTGGGTAAGGACTCTGTACACAGATGTAAGCACCGAGGTGCTGGTAAATGGTTTCTTGAGTGAGCGGACTGCAATAGAGTTGGGGGTCCATCAGGGCTGCCTCCTCTCCATGATCCTTTTCATCTGCACCATCAAACCCCTGGGTCAGCGCATCAGGCAGGACTCCAGGATGCACAGAGTCCAGATCCCCAGAGGAAGTACGGAACAGGCCAAGGTCCTGGCCTACATGGACAATTTGAACATCCTGTGTAGGAATAAGAGTGCAGTAGAAAGAACTCTGTGGCACACATGGATTTACAAAGTGGCAGAGGGGGCCAAGCTCAATGTGAGCAAAAGCACCTGGCTGGCTGTGGGTGAGCTTAGAGACCTGGAGACCCTGGGGGTCTTGGTTCCCCACAAGAGGGTCAAGATCCTTGGGGTGGAATTTGACCTGGAGCTGAGTGGAAGAAGGGCCTGGGAGAAGAAGAAGGCCAAGGTGAAGCAGAGGTTGAGTATGTGGCACAGGTGCCACCTCTCCATGGTTGGGCGCGTGGCACTCATAAAGGCGGTTTTGCTACCAGTGCTTCTGTACACTGCACTAGAGTCCCCCCCTGCAAAGCGTATCATCCACAGAATCCAGAAAGCCATGTGCGTCTTCTTCTGGGGATCCTGAATGGAGAAGGTGGCAAGGAAGACCCTATACAAAAAGAAACGGGCTGGAGGCAGGGGGATGCCAGACATCCACTTGTTCCTGTGGGCCTGGTACAAGAGCCAGATTTGCAAGCTGGTGACCAGGCCATAGACCAAAATAGCCTGTCTAGTAAAGTTTTTGCAGGTCACCTCGTGAGACGGTTGGGGGCGGGGGGGTACACACCAACTACCAAAGACCGTGGACCATGGAGCATCCCTAGTTCTACAGGGTCCTGAATGAGTTCTGGAGCAAGTACGGGCTACAGAAGAAAAGCCCAGCGACTATGTCCAACCACAAAAAGATACTTAAGGTAGTCAGGGACAGAGACAGGCTATCAACCATGGAGATGCTCTCCGATGAGGACTGCCAAGCCATCTGAAACCAGATCTTCCACAAGGACCTCCTCAAGGACCACAGGGACTTGAGTTGGTTAATAGCGCACTGAGTACTCCCAGTGAGGGCGTGGAGGTACAGTGAGGGATGAGGGATTCGACCCAATTGCCCCAGGGAAACCTGCCAAGAAGAAACGGAGACCACTGACCACCTCCTGTGGCACTGCCCATATGCCAAGGGTGTGTGGAAAAGGTAAGCTGGCTCCTTGAAGGAGTGACAGGAGTCAGGTTAATGCCAAGGGAGGCGGCGCTGTATAGACATCTGACTGAGCAGCAGGGGTTCTAGACAACACACTTTGACCAGTTTGTGTCCTTTGTCAGAAGTGTCCTGTGGCAATGTAGGAACCATCTGTTATACAGGCACTCTGAGCTCAAGGGAACAGACTATGTTAGAATGTTTCTGAGTGAAGTCCAGTCCTACTACTGGAAATTGGTGAGAGAGGACGGAGAAGATGCAACCAACTCCACCTGGAAAAGCAACACCTGGCACAGGTTGTTCAAAGACCCACCAGGAACGGAAGTGGACAGGGAGAACTAAGAGGCCAAAGATGCAACTAGACCTGGAGACAGTGAGAAGGACTACAACAGGATCAGCAGCAGCAGACGTGACAGCAACATCGACAGTGAATGAACTGAGAATGTAAACCCCCAGTTCGGGCTTGGACTAAGGGCCTGCTTTTGGGTTAGGGGAGGTTAGAGGGCAGGTGCATGGGGGCACAGGGGAGTGGGTGCGTTTATTGTAATGGGAGCGCTGGCTTCTTAATGCGGTTTAAGATGTGTGATGGAAAGGTTATGATAGAGGATGTATATATATATAACTCTCTCTATATAGAAATCTATTGTATTTAAAAAAAAGTCATCACAAGTGAGTCAATATGGTGAGAGAAGGGCTAGTGGGCTAGTTGTAATGAAAAGAGCTGGAAGAATAAGCTCTGTGGCTGAAGGAAGAAACTGGGAACCACAATGTGGGCATGTCTACATGTGTACTTTAATGTGCAGTAGCCTATTCTACTGTGCTTTAAAGCAATGTGTAAAAAAAGTGTTAATATGCTAATGCACAGTAGAATAGGCTACTGTGCATTGTGTGTCACCTAAAAAGTGTGTGCTTGCGCTACTGCACATTAGTGCAGCCTTCATTTATATAATATCTCATACTGGAGGTACTAAATTTAATGCACATTAGGAAAAGTGCATTAATGCACATGTAGACATGCACAGTGACTAGCAAACTGATCATTTAAACCTTGTTTTGTGCCAAGAGAAAGTACAACTAACTACATGGTGCCCCTTACTGAGAGTGGAACACAGCCCAGCCCTCAGAAATCTTATTGGTATGATGTTTAATTAACACAGATTGGGAATGGAGTTAGGAACTATGCCCAGGTACAAAAAATGGGATTTTTAAATGAAAAAATATCAAATAGAATAAAACAGAATTTTGCTGTTGAAATAATGGGGAAAGTTCTACTTGCTATTTCCCCGCTTTTCTTAATTTACTTTCTTTTTTCCAGAAAAAGAGGAAAGTGAGCTAAAACATGTTACTTCTTTTCATTTATTTCCTTTTTCCTACTGGAAACAAACGGGTGAAAAAAGTGAAAAAAATGCAAGGAAAATGTTCAGAGAAGAAATCCACTTTGTCAGTCTTTCTTGGAAAAGTGTGAAACTATTATAATTATTTCAAAGTTGTTCCTTTCCCTCATTTTTTTAAACTTCCCACTTCAAGTCTCCAGCTCTGTTAATAACACTGTCATGCAAGTAGTATTTTTGGATCTGGGTTTCCCAGTGGGTGTAGCAATGTCATTTAGGGGTATTTCTACTGCAGTTCCCTTGAAGTAAGGGCAAAATGCAGACATTTGGGAACTTTGGCATATCTATTAATTTATTTTGTGTTATCCTTTTCCATGGCTTTTTGGTATAGTTACCAGCCTCATTTTGCAACTCCTGTCTCCAGTCCCTCTGGACTTTTTTTGAACTCGTTAGATAGAACACATTCTAGCGTTTACTTTATTACCTTCAACCCACTTCTGAATTTCCTGAGACTATAAATCAGTCTTTGTTTTATAGATTTAGTTATGTTTTCTCTCATAAAGTTGTTTACTTTACAGAGTTTCCAAAATTCAAATCCAGCTAATGGTTGGAATGAGCGTATATAGGTCAACGCATGAAGATTCCTTGCAGTCTGATGACAATTATATGCAGCTGAAAGGAAATCTTTGAAATACTGGGAAATATATAGTGCCAGAACAGTCCAACTACAAGCCATATAGAGTTAGGATAAATATTTTTCTTCTTTAGGTCCCACATACTGCAGATTTCCTTATAATTTGGTTGAAAACAATTAATACTAGTAGTTCATTTGTTCCAGACAATATCTTCCCCCCTTAAATTGCAAACACAAAAGGGGATTTTGTATAGCATTGTATGGCATACTCCTAAAAGACAGTATGAATATAAATGAGGGGGAGAAATGGACTCAAAAGAGCAATTTCTGTGTAACAAACTTGATTTTCCTCTATACGGCACAGCACACAAAGCGAAGATGTTAAGCACTGGCTCTACTCAGTGAATTGCTTCTGGTCAGCAAAGCACTTGATAATGATCCAAAAAGAAGTGGCCCATTATTTGTTACTACATTTTCCTTCTCAGTCATTAAAAGGCAACTAAAATTAATGCCTTCCAAACGTTACTTTTTAGCACAAGAAGTTCATAAGGATGCAACTCTGGATGGGAGCAGCGTTATCTAGAGTTAAGGTTGTTTGACAATCTCCATCACAACCGCCTGCTTTAAATTGTTTGTACCTGTTAGCAAGCATTAACTAGTTGAGCTGACATTTCCAGGTAAGATGTCTGTCTCTTAATGAACTCAGTGTGATTTTTTTGATGGGCAGTGGAAGCACATTTCATGTAAAATGATTAACAGATTGCGACTAGAGGAAAATATGTTGCTTAATACATGTTTAAAAAGGCTTGTGCCTCTTTTGTTGAGAAACTCTGATGATCTGTTTTGCAGCAGAAGCTTGAAATTTGGTACGCTGGCAACCCTGGTACCGAGATGTGCATCTTGCTGTTGAAGAAAGGCTTCTCACATTTGACTAAGTTATACGAGCCTTTTCAAAATCTTGATTAGGAGTCTGGCGGCTAAATTCTCAGAAGATCCCATCTGCACTGAACATGTTCCAGCCCAATGGTGCTGCAGCTGAGCAGGACTGTATAGTGCTGAGGGCAGAGAGCTTGTCTCTCTTGTGCTCTTTAAGTCAACCCCTACCGTACCAAGGAAGCATGCAGGATATAGAGCAGGGGTAGGCAACCCCCAGCACGGGTGCCAGAGTGTGGCACTCGAAGGCATTTTGCTTGGCACACATGCCTCAGGGTGGATGGCGTAGAAGGGGCCGGGGCTACATGGCAACAGCAAGGACTGGGCCCCTCATAGCTCCCCTGTCATCCATCCCTGGCACACCAACATCTTACAAGTTGAAGTTGTGGGTGTTTTTGGCACTCTGCCCAAAAATGTTGCTGACCTCTGATATAGAGAATACCTTCCCTAAAGTACAGAGGAGGGGCAACAAAGAGATGTAGAGCAGGGGGAGGTACGTATAGGAGAAGAGAATAGCTTGACTGCAATATAGGTGGGACAAGAGCTGGAACAGGAGTGTAGATTGAGACAGACAACCTTAAATGACAAACTGTTCCTAGGGGCTCGTGAGAAGGGGGACTGATCCAGCTGGGGAGAGCTGGTGGAGACATGGGAAGATCAGCCAGGCTTGATGAACAGGAACAAAAGGAGCTGTGCCTGCCATGGCCCCGCTTCCTTCCAAAACCTGGAATAGGTTCTCAGGTCTCTACACTTAGGAAAAGATCTGTGAAACTCACTGGTAAAGCATGTTTCTCATCCCCCTCTAGTGGCTGGTCCACTGAAAGAATGCTATCAGGTGCTCCAGTAACTCCCATGGCATAGGTCTGGGCAGTCCATCTACATGTCCCAACCCTGCCCATGGCATGTGGGCATCTAGATGGTGCTGCACAATATAATTTCTGTGCTTTCCCCCCACTTTTCTTTGTAAAAACCTCAAAAAACAAATCAGACAAATTATAGTGCACAGGCATGACACTGTTTTTAGTTATGTGACCCAGTGGTGTTTTTCGCCGCAAGATCCCTGATTCATTCAGTGAAAAGGATGGGCAGTGGTCTGGATAGCCCAGGGCTGTGCAGTGAAGGAGGCTGTTGTCTGCTTAAACCCTGCCTCATTTCTGACAGAAGTGGGAAGGTGTATACTGAATGAGGTAGGGGACCACAGAGAGAGAAAGAGAGAGAGAAGTTGGTTTCATGGCTAAGAGCAGAACTCTGCCCCGGGTTCTGCCTGCCTGTGCCCATGATGCTAGGGAAGTCAGTGCAACCGAAGGTTTCACAGGTAGTTGCTAATTGCCTGTCCCTCATTTTTGGGGTGCTTGGCTTGAGACCCTAGTCTGATTTGCAGTTGTGTGGAGCTCTCATATGTGCACCTGAAACCAGTGGGAACCGGTGCCTTACACACACAAAGTGCTACTTCACATGAAGTGCTCTGAAAAATCAAGCCCTAGACTTCTAAAAACCAGCCCTGAAAATTATGATACCTTTTCTTTCACCTGAATCTCTCTGTGCCTTACATCCTCCACTGTAAAATGAAGACACTACCCGTTGTCTTAGGGCTGTTGGGATGGCCAGTCCTTCTGTCTACTGGCCAAGCTGTCAGGATGAGGAGAGACCATGAGGAAACAGGGTGTGAATTGAATTTCCTGCAGCATGGATGGCGGGGGAGACCTACCAAATGACCTAGAGCAAATTAGGCACTGGACAAGCCTTGTCCATCCTGGGGGCTGAATAAGGTGGGACCTGCATGGGGGACAATACATGCCAGGGTCACTAAAAGCTGCATGGCACTCCTTGTGCTGAACGAGGAGCATCCAAGCGACTGGACTGCCCCAGAAGGCGGGCAACTTTACAGACAACCCACATCTAAGTGTGCTTGTACCTTCAAGGCGAGCTGCAAGGACATTCTGTTTTTTTCATGAATGCTGCATGCCCCCGGAGGCTGGGGGGGCATGGTGAGCTCCAGCAGGCGGTGGCAGCACTGTGGGCAGTGGGAGTGTCGTGGCAGCAAGCGATGAGCTCCTGTAGGCGGCTGTGGCACTGTTGGCAGTGGGAGGGTGGGGTGGTGGTGAGCTCCGACGGATGGTTGGCGACCACTCACAGATGCCACTGGCAGTGCTGGTGGTGCCCAGCGGCGATTGGGGACCACCCGCAGACGCTGCTGGCGGTGTTGGCAGTGAGGACAGGGCGTGGGGTGGCGAGCAGCAACCATTTTCAAGCATCGCCAGCTGAGTTGGAGGCGCCTTTTTGCAGGGGGTACACTGCCACACACAGGGGGTGCACGTGCGGCCAATGGGTTTTCTGCTACTCCGTCCTCTGTTGATACGGAGCCGGACGCCTGTCTGTCCTCAAGAGAAAAACAGACAGCGCCCGGAACGGGGTCAGGGCCCGACCAACTTTTAGCACGTTCATTCAGCTAGCTGCGCAGTAAAAAGAAACTGCGATCCAGTTTTAACCGGAATGACAACTGCGCATCTGCGAGTTACAGAAATGAAGGTGCTCCAAGCTGGTCGCGGCCATGCCCGGGCCGCCCCTACTCCCGC